GTCTGTCTGTCTGTCTGTCTGTCTGTCTGTCTGTCTGTCTGTCTGTCCTTGTCACTACCTATACTGTTTTGCTATATTTTGTTGATCTAGCTCTTGGCAAGAATTTATAAGTTTTCACTTTCGCGGTCCCGTACATCTGTTTGGAGGGTATTTGAATATGGACAAGAACATCTGTTTGGGTTACCTTCTTGGGCTGCCGGCATCCTCCTTTTTGACCTTTTGACCTAGAGGGAGCGGGGGCGGGTGGGCTAGCAATCAAAACAAACTTTTCGTTAGGCCTGACAGCTTGCTGCCTGTCATCGGGGCTGGGCCTTGGTGGGGCGGGCTGGCTAACTGGTCCTCCCCAATAAAACAAAATGTTCTGGGAATGCCTAGGTTCAAATTCAAATGACGGTTATTGAAATCTGGTGCTCATTTTCGTCAAATCTGGTGCTCATTTTCGTCAACTCTGGTGCTCATTTTCGTGAAATCTGGCGCTCAATTTGTGCTCTATATGGTTGTGATCCAATCTGGTGCTCATGTTCGTGAAATCTGGTGCTCATTTTCGTTAGTTAAGTCTGGTGCTCATTTGCGTCAAATCTGGCGCTAAGTTTGTGGTCTACAGTTGTGGTGCAATCTGGCGCTCATATTCGTGGCATCTGGTGCTCGATTTGTGCTCTATGGTTGTGGTGCAATCTGGTGCTCATTTTCATCAAATCTTGTGCTCATTGTCGTGACATCTGGTGCTCAGTTTGTGCTCTATAGTTGTGGTGCAATCTCGTGCTCATTTTCGTCAAATCTGGTGGTCAGTTTCGTCAAATCTGGTGCTCATTTTCGTGACATCTGGCGCTCGATTTGTGCTCTATATGGTTGTGGTCCAATCTGGTCATTTTCGTGAAATCTGGTGCTCATTTTCGTCAAATCTGGTGCTCATTGTCGTGATATCTGGCGCTCGATTTGCGCTCTATGGTTGTGGTCCAATCTGGTGCTCATGTTCGTCAAATCTCGTCCTCATGTTCGTCAAATCTGGTGCTCATTTTCGTCAAATCTGGTGCCTGTTTGCGTCAAATCTGGTGCTCATTGGAATGAACGTTTTGTATCTGGTGCTCATTTTCGGGAAAGATTTGTGCTCCCTGGTTGTGGTCTCTGGTGGCTTGGCTGGGGAATTACAATGACAGGCAGGCCAATTTTGTATCTTGTGGAGATTTGGCTTATGGTGGTGTTTGACATGCTTTGTTACAAAGGGTGAGGTTATGATGGAAAGAAGAGATCTGTCATTATTTTGCGCTTCCTCTCTCCATCGCCATATGCTGGCTTTCAGGATGCCATTGTGCAAACAAAGGCATTGTAAAGAGGGAGAGGAAGAGAGACAAAGGAGAGAGGAAAAGACGGGCCAAACAACAGGTCTTGCCTCTACAACATCCCCACACAGCATCCAATCAAGTCAAAACCCAATGAGCCAAATTTCCACACAAACCCACAAACCACAACCAATCTATGGACATTGCTCCTGCTCCCCAAGGGTTCTGGAATGCTGGGGGTGGGCTGAGAAGCAAAAAAGGGTTTGCTCAAAGTTTTGCTTGGGAGAGGTAGCCAAGGTACAAGTGTTTGCTTCAATGGTCAAATACCTTTCATCCCACCCACTGAACTTCAGGGCCTCTTACTCTAGGTCAAATAGAACTTTTGTATGACACCTGATGGAAAACCCATAAGTGATTTGGATGCATTTTCCTGGTGCTCATTTTGGCACCCTGATATGTAAAAAACAAGTTTTGAACTGTTCTTGGGGTTGGGAACATCTGAAGAATTATCAACCTACCTGAAAAACGCAACATTTTAAACATGTGGCCCAAAAAAACGTTGCTCTTGCACAAGGGGAGCCAACATTTCACTCTATAGCGAGGGCACGCCATGTCGCCAGATTTTATGGAGGTCTTAGCGTTTGAAAAACCATCCCTCTATAACATCATTTTTGTACACGTGGGCCAACATCTGTATCCAAACATGTCTCTATACAATCAAAACCAACCCGTTGGGCCACTTATTTCCAAGTTTTCTTAAAATCAATTGTCCAAACATGTGTCTTTAAAATAAAATCAAAACCAACCGCTTGGTCCACTTTTGTCCAACATTTTTCTAAAATCAATTTCAACCCTGCATTGTCCAAACATGTGTCTATAAAATCAAACCAACCGCTTGGCACTTTTGTCCAACATTTTTCTAAAACCAATTTCAACCCTGCATTGTCCAAACATGTCTCTGGAAAATATAAACCTATGTCTTGGGCCACTTTTGTCCTGTGTTTTTCTTAAATCATTTCGGACCTTCATATTTCCCTGACTTTCTTTTTTAGAATCAATACCAACCTCAGCTATGCATCATTGATTTTCTCTTTTTTTGCCATCAATTTTTCACGATGATGCACGCCCATATCCGGAGGCACCTCATTCTATAGAGAACATGTTTCCAGCGCTGCAGGAGGTTGATATGTGGTTCTATAGTGGGGCAAACTGCCCGCGGAGCCTGGTTTTTCGTTTTATCGCTATCAAATGTCGTTTTATCGCTATAAAGTCACCTCCCCAGGTACACCTGTAATTCCACAGGAGATTTTGTGTTTGTGTTTCGGGTTTGTTTGTCTTCCTGTTTGATATTAGGCTATATAGGTTTGATTCGATGTGCTCTGCTCCTCTTCATGAGGCCTGCTCCGCGCAGTGTTTCGACCCTTCCCCCAGACGTAGCCTGCAGGGGGCTGCGGGGGGCTTTTACACAAAGCTTGGAGAGCGCACAACTGTGGAGCGACATCCAAGTTTTGGTGTTTGTAGACCAGGCCACCGCTTTTCCTGCTTCAGTGGCACGGCAGCCTGGGGCTTTTCTCAGACCAAACAACATGGTGTTCGTGTGGTCAAGTTCTGACGGACCCAAAAAGAATCATTGGGCGAGGCGACTGTCGGACGTGGAAACACCCACGAGAAGGTCTGACGCGTGGATACGCGTGGCTCTTCGGATCGTAAGTTCTTCGGAAATCCCTGGAATGATGGATGCGAGGCATGGGGAAGATTTCTCTTAGTGTAAGGTCAATTAATGACGGAGATAGACTCACCAAACCTATGACAATATGAGTCAACATATGTTGTTTTTTCTCCAAGCACCCTCGTGCTTTAGGGCAGCCGTAAATTGTTGATTAAGCCTCATGGAATGGATAATCCTATGATTGCATTGGTTTGACCGTTGGTTGGTTCATGCTTTCTCACTTGGATCTGCTCATGCAGAGTGGTCCAGCTTGGAGAAGATCCTCCTTGGCCGGTTTGGCCCGTGTATCATTCCAGCCTCCTTTCGTCACAGAAAACCCTCGAGGCTACAAGGCTAAAGGCTATACCAGGTTCTGGTATAAGAAGTCAACTACAGTGGTTGGTTGCAAGGTGTTTGACCGGGGTTTGGATCAGTTGATTCCTTTATCATGGCCCAGTTGCGGCAGACGACCAACAGTGTCTTTTGCTTTAAGAATTCATCCCTATAGGACTATTAAAGAAAGGCCAGAGGATCCTTCGTGTTGGCTCAAGTCAATTCTGAGAACATCTGAGGACATTTGCACAATCTGCCCTGTTGAAAAATTCAGATTAGAGTCTACTGGGAGCGATTGATTGACTAGATCTCTTCAGACCTGACCGGAAACCACTCAGCTTCTCTCAGTTCTCCGTTGTTTTGTTAGAGATTGAGTCGTCATCCTTTTCAGTACAGAGTGATATTAATATTGAATGGACAGTTCATTTCAAGTGCCCTTTTGCATTCGCTGCCTGTAGGCAACTGAGACTGTACCTATCAGAATCGGCTTTTCCTCACAGCCAAAGAGTCCCGCCTGGAACAAATCCACCGGAATCATGTGGTTGAAAAGATCTGACTGGCCGTTACAACATGGGTTTTCCTTCATTATGACGCGGCTAGGCTGGGATGATACTGTAGAAAGAGCTGGCTGTGGGTCATCATCAAAAGTATCAACAGTATCCAGCAGTAATTAGTTGCCCAAGATTCTTCTCCAAAGGCGAGCTCAGACAAGACCAGCGTGGCGCTGTTTGGTCTATGACCTATGTGCCATGGCTCCTCCTGTTTCGCCTGGCTTGGAGCTGCCCCACCAGACCTGGCGATTTCGAGGCACGTCGTTTTACATCCGCTGGTCGTCCGGTATGCCTTCTTCGCTGTGCGGTGACGCGTGCCCACAGAGGGTGGAAAAGATCAATGGACTGCTCATACAGATCCATGTGCTGATCATAACCATCAACGGCTTGCTCAACGGACTGATCCTAAAGTCCTAAAGTTCAATGTGCTGATCATACACATCAATGGACTGATCGTAGAGATAACATTCATATACAATCTTGATCTGAAAACGTGATTCGGTGCGGATTTTTGAGAACCTCCGAGCAGGTGACAGTGATGAGTTGTTGTTTTTATGTGTGTTTTTGTGTGTTGAGTGGTATTCCATGATATGGTAAAGCAAATTCAACCTCACTCCAGGTGGCGAGCTGTTTTTGTTTGGATGTTGACGGTGCCCAGATGTGTCAGGGAGATCTTCAATCTGTCCACAGGCATTTCCAGCAATTCTTCTTGTACCGATTGTTCGATGCTGCAAATTGTAATTACAAAAGTGTTGCGCAGACAATTTTCTTTCTGCAGCTACAGAACCACTTCCCATAGGCAACTACAGTAGGACCTACAGGTTGCTTCAATGATTTCTGAGGAGGTCTTTTTGAAGGGATTTGTTGGCCTCAAAAGGACATTTCCCAAAAGTCAAACCGTGCCGGCGCACCAGAGTTTGGAGAGATATTTTTAGTTTGTTCCTCCATTCAGGTGCGTAAGACAAAGTTCTTCACTCGGAGTGAATGATGCCCAGCAGATGAAGTTGAATGATGTCCCCGAGCGCGAGATCTGGAAGGGAGGAAGAGCTTGTGGTTCCAGCGTTCCTGCTCGAAGTCAAGACTAGTCAACATATGAGCTCAGCTGCCATACACATGGTACCAGAGATTCGCTATGGTATCAGAGTGCCAAAGCTGAAATGAACATTGTGTTCAATGAATTACACGTCCTTCAAATCAGAGATAGACCTTAGTTGCAGTTGCACGAAAGCTGTGACACATCGGCGGTCCGTGTTGTTTCGTGTCCGACACGACGTGAGGCGTGTCAGAGCGACATCTCCTTGGACTCAGGAAGACCTCAGCTGCTTCCAGGTTGTTCTGTGCCTTAGCTTCGTCGCAGCGGACTTGGGGTGCTATGGGCTCCCACGAAGAGGTCGAACGTATCATGAAAACCTCGAACACGTCATGGGGCAAAAGCAATGAAAGGCTTCAACTCGCGACTTACTCCCAAAAACTCGCGGGGAGAGAGAGAGAGAGAGAGAGTTGGCTCTCAGGTGCGTTTGGTTGGGATTCGTCCCGCCATGACGATTTGCAGATTGAAGGGAGCATTGATAAAATGTGTTTAAAGATCTCAATCGTGCAAGAAGGCTGACAGCGAAGCCTGCGACACATTATTGTCATTGAACAACATGTTATGTGTTTTTTTTTTGCATGTATATATGAACAATAAACATATATATATATACCCTGCACGTCCAAAGACCCAGTAAAACCTGGTCTTTAGCATCCTTCAATATTGTTTTTGTATGACCAACTCAAGTGAAATGAGGTCTTTGACTTGTAGGGATATTTTTAACGTACACATCTAAAATGGCATCAAAGAGCTTCAACGACCACGGCATCCGCCGTCCAACACGACTGAGGCGAGATGTGCCGACTGGTCGGGCTGCGAGCCCTTGGGCCTCTTCGGCGACTGCTGCCCAGACCGTGGCGGTGAGATGCCACTTGGGCAGAGCGGGGAACGAGGGAGATAAGTGGCAAGGGATTGGAACTTCCTGGGACCAATGAAGATCAAGCATGATCAAGCTACAGGTGATTTACAATGTGTCCAAATGAAATCCGTGATGTTTCACCCCTGGGTGTTCGTGGCTTCATCCAATTTCATGCGCTCAAAGACTTTGCAACTCCCGGTTTCGAGTCGGACCCCAGGTCAGGAGAGGTCCCAAAAAAACCTAACAACCATCATTTGGGAGGTGCTGGCATTCACTACTATTCCAGCTTCAACCATTTTTATGTTTTCATTGATATACACGACACATCCATCCATCCATCCATCCATCCATCCATCGAATTTTCTTCGTTTCTGCCGATCCGACCGAGGTTGGGCTGCTGCAGCGCGCGGCGGCTCACCTCGCAGATCCACCGGAAGGGCGTCACCGTGGACGACACGACACTGCGCTACTGCGCTGGGCGCATCCCTGAGACCCGTGTCGACAACGGCGGGCGGCCAGGTGGTGTACGCCGGCTGGTGGGTGGCAATGTTAGGGGTGAGGGGTTGTGACATGTAACATGTGTAATTACCATATTATATCATATTATCATAATTGTCCATATGGTATTTCAATTGGAGAATGTGGGAGAGGTTCTTTTGTAGCACATGAAGCATCAGGTTACTTAGCCCATCGGTATCCCATCGGTCAATTAGGCAGGATCCAAGCGCAGGATTTTGTTGCTTAACAATTGCTGAATGTTTGAGTCACGTCAGCTGGCCTTGTTCCAGTTTGAACTTGCACGATGGCAACACAATGAATGCATCTATAGCGAACGGTGCGACAAAAAGACATGCAAACAAATGCACCACAAAACGAAAGGAACCTTGCAAGCACGCCAATGGCATGCAGCAATGCAGGGTCATAGAAATTGCATGTTTGGTCCCATTTTGGATCGCAGCTGTGTGACACACCTGTCTATTGCATTTGTCGAAGAACAACCGTGACAGTGCGAACACGTGACCCAAAATGCCAACTGGACAAGGACATTCTCAATGAACCTAACGCCTAACAACCGTTGAAAGTACCCCCACGTGACGGATTTTATCAGGAACAGGCTTTATAGCTAATGATGAAATGGGACATGGAATCTCTTCTTTTCGAGCTGAACTCGAAGTTTCTTATGAGAGTCCACAGTTGATAGCTGAGCTCAAGTCGCAGCTGAACTCAAGTAAAGTCAGACTGCCCCGGTGGCTTTGCACGGCGCATCACTGACAGGAACATAAAAATGGTCGCACCAACTGGTGTTAAAAACCAAGATTCCTGAATGACCCGCGGACGTGAAATGACTTGCGCATGGAAGTCTTGCAGAAAGCGATGCGCAAACCGTGCGCGGGTCTTCGACACCCATGAAGTGAGCAATATCTACCACTAGAGGTTCGGCAATGTGTGCAGGGTCTGAAAGAACATGAAAGAACGAATGTCCCAAAACAAAGAGCTGAATCTTGCCTTAAGGGTCACTACTTCACCCAGTGAGGGTTCGTTATCAAAGGAATTGTGGATACACATGTGTTCCATACCAAACGTAGAACAAGTCAAGATGCTGAAACACACATGCACATGGATGACTGATGTGTAAAGATCTCAGTCAGTCAAAGATCTCATGTGTTCCATACCAAGCTGAGACACACACACACACACATGCACCAGCCTGACTTCGATCTCCCCAGCCTGGTGTTGACCTCGAAACATCGCTCGAGGACTTGGCCCAACACGGAGTCCAAACTGACCTCACTTCGTATCTTTCAGGCAGGGATGCTTTCGTTGTTTGCAGTTATATATATATATACAGGTTTCATCCTGTGTTTGTGTATGTGTCACGAGTTTTTTATTTTCAGTTTGGTTGATCAACTGTCGTTGTTTCGTGGCAATTGGTGGGTGTTTTGTGTTGACCAGACACAAGTCACAAGTGGAGTCAACATGTGTTTTCTAGCTAAACACTGTTCAACCCAAATCCTTGTTCGACTCATTTGTGTTGTTCCGTGCTGCGAACGATCGTAACTGTTTGGTTTCCATCCAGACTGTCGGCCAAGTGTCCTTTAAGAGTTGAAGTCCTGATCCAATCTTGATGTTGTTTTGTATACATACATGGAACATCAACAGACATGGACATTGTCATCTCAGACTTTGTTGCTGCATCCGCGCATTTCAACGCCCATGGCCGCCCATTTTCAACGCCACGCATCTGTGGCGAGAGACCGCAGTCGGGTCTTCACCTTGAAACCACTTGTTCAATGGTTCGTACTGCATGTTCTGACCCTTTTGGGAATGATGTTTGACGCTTTTCCCAGTGCCCCAAGAAATCCTTTGCTTCGATGCCGTGCCTTTTGTGAGGCCTGGAACATCCAATGGCCCGCCGAAGAACGGCGGAGGTCTTGGCAGGGTCTCAGCGACTTCGTGAAAGCGCCCCTCGACGGCGCAGCCGTGGATGGATTCCGCGGGGGAGCGCGGCGTGACGGTTCTTGTGTAACTCGAAAGCTTGATTGTTATTCGTAGCGATGGCCTCCACCTAGTAGCCTCTAGTTACTTAGAAAGCTTCAAAGACATACTAGAAAACTTTTATCGTTACTACAGGTGAAACGATTCCCAAGAAAGCTTCTAGTTACTGGACAGTTTTTGTTTAATAAGAGGGTGTGCAGCTGATGGTTGGCTACATCACTTAGATATGGCACATATTGGATCATATCGGTATAAATTCCTGACATCGGGTTAAAGGTGTTTCACCCTTCGCATTGGGTGTTCTCACACATATAAGGATTCGCTGTGCTACAGATTTGTAGTACCATTTGACCCATTGCGCTCGCACCGGACAGGATCAGCTTCCCATCTTGCCTTTGCATCAGTCACGCATGACATGATGGCGGTAGAGGATGATAAGGAAGAAACAAGACCACTAGTAACCACAAAAACATTTTCTTACCCTGCGCACTTCTGTTCACTCGAACTGGCTGCCAGCCAGCACAGGGAGTATAAGCGATTGAGCGGGGTAGCGTGTGCAATGCGATGCAGCGTGTGTATTTTGCCGACGGAAGGGATCCATCGTGGTATGGTGGAGCAAGATTTGGCCTCCCACAGCTTGATGTGCAAAGAGCAGGTTTGTGGAGACCAATAGAACAGGAGTGCAGGACTACTGGCAAACAAAAACTTCTAGATGTAACCCGGGCGTAACCTGATGTAATATCCTGATGATCTATTTGATGATCAATCATAATTGCCGTATCCTTTTCGGCGACTTGAAACCTAGCTTTTTGCAACAAATATCACTGCATTGAAGAGTCTTTTGGAGGTGTGGGTCTTGAGCATTGACCTTTTTGACCAGCTATCCAAGACCAAGACCAGACCCCAACTCCGGAGAGGGAGTCCAAAAGGAATGCTTCATTGGCTGAACATGCCCGGATGGTGATGGATCGAACGGACCGAGGGGCATGGCATACCCTCCAAACATAGAAGTGGACAATTCCCCTGTTTGCAGAGGAACATGGTCTTTCCATGTCGTTCCAGGGGCCAAGCCATCCACTTCCATGATTGTTTCAGTATTATTATACTGCATGTGTCTCACCTTGCGCCAACTAGGATCATGGTGAACGATCAACGTTTGAGAGCACTAGGCGGTCGACCTTTACACAGCTATCGCCGAACGCTCGACGATTTCGTTTCGACAAGGCGAGAGATCAAGGTCTTAGTGGGGACTCCGGTCACCTGCCACTTGGACGAGTCCATCGCATGGTGATATTTCTCAGTTTGGACTTTCACAGTGGATGTCGGCGTGATGGATTTGGGTGGTAATTTGAATGGAGAAAAAAATCAGTGAACAACAACTGAAGCGCTCTTCATGCCAACCAATCGTTCCGGGATGTTATATAAAGCAGGGCGAGTGACAAATTGTTTGACTCGTGGACACCTGACTTGCTCAACACCACGCATTCTCGCTATGACACCACCGGTAGGCTTGTGATTTCTGCTCAATGAACTGGATCTGTCAGAGTCGCTCTGGACAGTTAATCATGACGCATGTGCCTCCAAATCCGAAGCATTGCCAAAACTACTCGATTCCACCAATGCTATGGCCACACGGCCAGTACTGAATGCTTTCGGACCAAGCAGTTGAGGGAACCCCCTGGTCCGACCCAACCCTGAAGAAGCGCCCGGTCCGTTTCACGTCGAGGTGACCTGGACGACGACGAGACCACCTGGCAGTGGACCAAGGACCAAGGAGTTCTTGCAGATGATCGGCCCCGAGCACCTTGGTCCGGTGGGGCTGCCAACGCCCTTCGTTTCGAGGCTGCGCGTTTTCGGGGGGGTCTTCGTTGCGCGCAGTCGTTTCGTTTTTTGTTGTTTAAGTCTTACAACACGACATCAGCACATGCATTTAAGATCATTTAAGCTTGTATGTATATTTGGAAGATTTCAGCCTATTTGATTCTTTGACTTTGGATAGACTTGCTGAAAATACTTAATTTCTTTATATAATCTACCCAAATTTATATACTACTCTTTTTATAACTTTAGCATCAGCCTCCTGGGAGACTTGCTTAAGCAAGAAGACACTAATGCGCCAGCTGTCTTAGCGGATGTTTTGATGGAAAGAACTCCTGCACCACTTGGGGAAAAAGAAGAGGTTCAACATTTCTGCAGTTTGGAGGATTCATGGCTGGTCCGCATGTTCTTGTTCATCCCACTAGTCTCCGAGGCATGTGATGGGCTTGGCCATCGGCAATGAGCCTCGCCGGGCTTTTGGGATCCAGGTCAACGAAGCGGAATCTTCCCAAGGAAGGGCTTCTCACGCAGAGTCCAAGGAATGTGCTTCCGTTCTGTTCCGAGAACTGTGCTTCTGCCGAGGAATTGGAATTGCTCTACTTGCATGGAATTCGGTCGAGCTGTATCCATGAGCTTCTTGCCTGGGATTTGCAAGAGACGCATTAAAGTGTCAGGTTTTGACAATAGTGTGTGTTTGTGTGTGTGTGTGTGTGTTTGTTACGGCCATTTAACCTCTTAAAGCCAGGCTACTTTAGAAACTTTAGAACATTTGGGGTATCAAGATAGAAGGGATGTTGGCACACAACTGGATGCCCAGCCTTGTCATGCCATCCATCCCTCCCCTCCAATTTTAGATCAGAATATCTTGAGAATATCTTGAGAAATAATGTCTTTTGTTCTGTTTTCTTTCCATGCTTTGTCCATGCTTTGAGTTTCTCCATGCTTTGTCCAGAATACGGGTCTTCTGATCAATCCGCTCAAGCTGTATGTTTCAATTCTAGATTGACCGGAGACTGAAATTTGTACGCAAAGGTGGTATGACATATGGGTCAGATTGCAGCCATCGAAGGCTACAATGCAACTGGTGCCTTTGTTGTTCACAATTTTTCAGCACGCATCCTATTGTCCATGTTCCCACGATTTTAATCAACGTATGTTGCAATCATGCATGTGTTCTTAGCCATTGCTTTTCACCTGCCACCAACCGGTGGCTGAGAACTGTGCTTTATTACCACGCCCCTGTCGTCTTCCGTATGAGGCTCTGGGAGGGTGGACGGCTCTGGAGGATTTTCACTCGCCGTGTGGCTGAGTTTGATGAGATGCTGGGACTTCGTGGAGTTTGATTCCGACTTTCTGGGTGTGAGAAGTCCGGACAGTCCAGACGCAAGACCAGTCTACTCAGCCTGGGTGTCCGGTGATCTCCCTATTCACACTCTACAGTAGGCAAATCAATCCAGATTCTGGAAGCCCCCCCAAAAAGAAAGAGGTAAAGAGACCCCTTCAAAAACTAGTTGGGGACCCCCTTTTTCGGGGGTGAACCGGTGATGGTAAGGAAGTGAGGAACTAATTACTTTGCGGCTGAACAGATGCTGGGCCATGTATCCATTCTTGAACAAGCCAGGACACTGGGATGAAAGCTCCTGAATTGGCCACAGGCCTTTTGCCTTGCTTGGGCATGCGATATCCGAATTAAAGAGGACTTCTCCGTTATATATATGTATATATATATGTATCAACAAACATCTCCATATTTGCACCTCGACACCACACGCATGGGCCCACTTCACCAAGAACCTTTTTGGTTTCCAGAACTGTCAACTGTTTTTGTTTGACGCTCTGCGATTCCGCTCATTGCTCTCAGGATGGGTTTCAAAGATATTCCCGTCACCAGTGTCTTCACTGCGGCCATCTTGGATGGACATCCCTTCATGGAAGTTCGAGGCGCATAGAATTGGAGTACTTCGGTTTGCTGGCAGATGCCTGCACGTCCTGAGACAGCGCGAGGACTTGGTTCAAAAATCTAAGTGTACCCCCATCAGGCCTGGACTAGACCTCTCTAGGTTTTGGGGTGTTAGACGGTGTTGCGCTAAAAAAACATGTTTCACGTGCTTGGACTTGGACTTAGCATGTTTACTCTGTTTTGCCGACACTGATGCTGAGGGTGACAAAGTATGGAGCAATGCCAACTGGTTGTGGCTGAAAAGACGATGTTGGAAGATTAAGTTGTTCCAACAGTGCATTAAGAGGATCCCTCTTCGACATACTTCATAGAGGCACCACTAGCATCCACTAGCAAGATGTATCCTTCTTCGAACTTACTTGGCTTTTAGGAGTGTGTCTATAGGGTTCGATTCTCGCAATTGAAATTCTAGTTCTATAGAAGCAATTTTATGAGCAACTGACAAAAATAGTGCTCCCTGTGCACTGTTTGCGAACCCTTCTGCTTACCACCGGCAGGAACAACCATCATACGAAGGAAGTAAGTAATTCAACTTACTACTTGGAGGGATGGCTGTGTGCTTTAAAATGAAAACCGGGTTTGAAGCATATCTTGGGAAACGATATGGACCCCACCAAAAAACGATAACCATGTCAAATGACCTTTGGCTACACAAGTAATATTGTCCGCAGCTCATATAATGGTAGTTAGATCCTACAATACTATATTTTGCGGCTTGAAACCTGTACATTTCATGTCACACAACTCAGAATCCTGTCCTCAAAGTCTAAGGTTTGCCACAACTTTCAAATGCCCCAAAGCAATGACAGGAAAAGCCTTGGTCAACAGCTTCTTGCGGCAAGCTGCGTGGAAATACCGATCTTGGGCAGCAGTCAGATTTCCAACAATTCTATATACAGTCAGGCACTTATATCAATTCTCACGAGACTTTTTGTCCAGCAGCATAAGAGGCAACTACTTTCGACATCGGTCCATTTCCGACTTCACAATCCCCTGGAAACGGTCCTTGTGTGCGTCCGATCGAACAATCAGATGAATGGCAGATCGGCGTTTGCAGATCGTTGTGACTCACATGAAGCACTATCAATGAATGACAAGCAAGCTTTACACATGACAAGAAGAAGAACCCAGAGTACCAGAAAGCCGTCGACATCTCAGGCTGCTTTCTGAAATGGGCTGTCGAGCTGAGCATCAAACGAGTCAAGACAGAAAAACATAAAAGAACAACAACAGGACTCTGTTCCCGCCAAAGGCACCATGGCCCAAAAAGGCACATAGCCACATCATGGGACATCATGAGATCCAACTCACAGGTGGTACAAAAGTTGGTTAACGTTGGGTATGAGATGAGGGGTCCCCTAAACCAATGATGAAGATCTAGGATTTACCCCAACAGGAGACGATTTTGAGAGTTCTTCGGAACATCACATCTCCTTACAATTAATCAGGCTCATTGATTCATTTTTGTTAGATATAATGAAATTGTTTCATGAGATCGTTTTTCCGTTTTAACCACATTTGGCATGGGGAAGCGTGCCACGTTCACGTGCTTCCATCCAATCCCTTTGAGTCCAAACCTTCGCGCCAGTCCTTCCAGCGGCACCACACTGAGGAGCGCGTTATGCATTCACGTTCAATGTTTATCCCTACTTCGATCCCAACTTGCAGCTTGGTCGGTTTGAGCGGCGGAGAGAAGACCGGTGCAGGGAAGTCCCGTTGACAAGTTCTCCTCTTGGTTTCCGTTGATTTCAACAAGGGTGTTTTGAGTGGTAGATTCGGAAATCCCAGAAGAGGATACTGCTTGCAAATGATAACTCTCACTGGAAAGGTTCATAAGAATTTCAGAGGAGAGCATGAATGTCGATGAGTTTGCACATGCCGCTTTTGAGCTGTCTTTATATTATATAGTTTTACATAATCGTTCTTATTTGTATGTTACTTCATTGAACTTCATTGTGCTTCCATTTTACATGTCAATGTTATACGTATATTTGTTGATATTTGTTGATTGTATTTGGCATTTCCAGTCCCCTCAAAGCCATCATATACAACTATTTATATTAAAAAAAACACATATATAATTATATAGTAGCACTGAGTTTTGATTGGGGAAAGGATTTAAAGAGGCAACCTATTTTTGGTGTAGTTTAAACACAATTGCCAAACTGATTGCGTTCAGGATCCGACTCGAATCCCAAATCTGTGAGCCGTTCAGGCATATGAATCCCGGCAGTCAGGAGTCTTGGTGTGTCGCATTGGCGGTTTAGGGGCCGTTCTGCATGTTGTTGCTATCATTTCCGGTGTTTATTTTAATTTGGTGATGAAAAGCCTGTCTAATGCACCAGAAGACGATTCTCCACAAACCCATGTTTGCGTATGTGTTTTGCCAACTCTTTCATGTTTGTTGGAGGGTGGGTAAACGCACAATACTTGATGGTGAACATTGACAATAAATTACCATTCCAGTTCCTCAAGCACACCGCGAGGTTGGCGACTTTATAACAAAGTCTTTATTGACCAAGAGCTTGGAACGTGGGATCCTCAGCCTTCTCTTGGCTTGAGGCATAGAAGATTACCTCGAGACCGCCCCCAGATCAAATCAACCAACCTTCAAGGAAAGTTCCTGTTCTCTTCGTGCGAAGCACGGCATTGGTCGCATTGGTGCACTTCAAACATCCCGCCAGCCAAGTAATCTAAGTAATCCTCAAGCAACCTTCCCCAGATATCCATATTCAAGCCTATACAGTATATACACCCACAAATCACATCCTCCTCGAACACTCCTGGAGCCTCGACCACCAGAACATCGACGTCTCCAATGCTGTCGGACCGGTCGTGCCGGTGGGGACGGGGCGCGAAGGGGGAGACCCAGACCACCCAGACCCTGGTCATGTGACCGGTGCCCACCACTTCCACTAGAAAAAACGCAACGGTGCTCACCAAACGGTCAACCTCTACTGCGGTGACTATGAACCAATCGCATTTGGGTAGTGATAAGTCGATTTGATTGCGCTTTGCCTCGAATCAATTGGTCTGATATGGTCTGATGACATCGAATTGTGACAGGAAGATGACTGCCAAAGTGAATCCCATGACAGTTTCGTGTGAAAGTCAAAGAGGAACAATTAGGATGAATTATCAATTAGAGTATATAAATAGAATCATGCAATTGAACAGTACTTACTGTAATTGGTTTGGACTGTTGTGGTTCCCAAGGACAACTGCAGCCATGCGATGCAGCGTGCGATCTGTTGGGATGGCCCCCAGTGCATCTCGTCGATCTCGTTGGCGAAGCGCATCCGAATTGCCGACTTGGGTTCAGCGGGAAGCCCTCCAAGACGGCTTTAGTCTCTGGAGTTTGAATTCTTCCAGAGCTACCTGGGGCGGCGCGGGGCGGTGATTTTTTGCGGTGAGCGAAGACCAAAAATGCGTGAAGACCTTGTTTTTTTACACCGCAGTTCCTTTTTGACTTGATTGGCAAGATTTCCTTGTCGCATGTCGTTTTAGTGTTGACGTTGCAATGGGAAACAACCGTTGGAAAGACTTTTGTGTGCAGCGTCGTAAATCGTCCGGGGCGAAAGCCGTCCCAAGGTTTAGGTCTTGCTATCATGATGGCAGCACGGCAGAAGATGCAGCTGCTGACTGGCAGGAGGGGGAGAGCGGTGCTTCAGTGTGGAGGATCCGACAGATACTAAATGGAGAGCAGTCTCTGGACTATTCATGCAGAAGGGATTTCAAAGACCAACAAAGAATCCAACAGATCGAATGTAAATTTCTTAACCACTTCTACCGGCTTCTATGCTTCTTTGTCCGGGGGGGTTGGTGTTTCGCACCTTTGTTTGAAGTCCTTGGCTGAAGCGCTTAATGGGATACATTGGTGGTTCTTAGAGGCTATGAGGCCAGTTATAAGCTTGACAGGTCTTGCCAAAACAAGTTTTGACTACTCACACAGGTACCTTTAGCTAAACTATATATAATATATGTACTTCTTATGACTCTTAGCCATAACTCATTAAAACAGATTAAAACAAAAAGTTATAAGTATATATATATACATATCATACATAGATTTATCTAAGGAGTCTCAACACATGTCACAATAATATATGTGTTAGTTGTTGGTTTCAAGATTACATAATGCTGCATCATTATATAGAGCTCCAAGTTGCTAAGTGTTATGAAGTGCTGTATACATTTTGACGACTATATACCTTAGTAACTAAGTATGTCTTACCTCTACCATACATATACAATGACCCTGCTGTTTTTCTCCCAGCCATGTGTTTTTGAACAGGCAAGGGTTCTTATGGGTGAGTGAGGGTAAGACAGGGTTTCGTGGCTAGGCTTCGTGCTTGTGCAACTCAGGACAAGTACTTCCTCATGTTCGTTGTATCATTCCTTCGTGTGGCAGGTGTAGTGCTGTTATGGATGTGCGTTGTCACTGACCATCCATTTGTGACATGCGCTCTCGACGCAAAGCGTGCATGCCGTTGCGGCAGGTGCAGGGGGATCGGGACAGTTGGATTTCGTGGCAGTCGCAGTTCGACTTAGTGGTGAGGGTGCTAATAATTTAGGACCGGTGCGGCGAACTTTGGACTGGCCACACCCATTCTTGGAATTTGGTAAATTGTGCGAAAGCTGCGTTTTGCTGTTTCGAAGTTGTCTTTAGACGTGCTTGGGTTGCGAAACGCACTGGTAGGGTCGAAATGCAGATTTGGCATGTGACAAATGTGTGCGCTCCGAAGTGTGGTCTCATAAATGTGTGCTCTCATGCGTGTGCTCCCACGCTCGCTCTCATGTGTATACTTTCTTGTTCCTGTTTGGGGGCAGAATCTTGCGGATGGTTCGAGCAGTTCAACATGGTGTGATCCTGTGGGCCATTGGGATGAACCTGTTGGGTCCGTGACGAGTGTCCTCCCATGCAGATCTGATGACCTCTTCTGGATCGGCGAGATCGGCCACTCGAGATGGGGAATCCTGAGATTTGATTCTTCAAAGTTGAGGTTGTCAATTCATACATTACCAGTTATAGGTCATAAAAGAGCAGCTTTTTTGATACTGAGAACAATTGGAACGCTGTATATAGAATTAGGGGAAAACCACCTGTTCGCCAAGTTTCTTCATGCATCACACATTTATTGTTGACATCCAGTCAGTGCTGAAGCCGTTTCAGGGTTGCAAGATGATTTCATTGAACCAGAAGACGATGCAAACTACACCCTCCACCTGCTCCTAGCCGGCAACTTTGTCCTGAGGTTGGTCGTCACCGCGAGCTGATGCACTGCACACAGATATGAGAGGATGTCAGGAGTTCTCGCAACTTAGCCGGTAGCGAATATGTGGGCGAGTGGCTGAAACTTGTTGAGGTGCAGAGGATTGCAGAGTTCACTGTTGTCTTTTTGAAATCACGTCCAAGAACTTGATAGACCCCCCAAAAGCAAATTCTTTCGCCAGTTTGTAATTCCAATGTGCATGAAGATGTCCCAAAGGTGTGGAGTGATACATAGCTGTGTGTGTGCCGAGCAGAAAGCCAGAGTGTAGACTATGTTCTATTCTCCGTGCTGGAACACCCCAGGCGGGGTTGAAACGCACGAGCTCAAAGCAGGAAATCACTTGGCCCCATTGGCAGCGTTCCACCGACCGTTTCGATCGAAGATGGAACCTTCCGGCCTTCAGACGCCCAGGTGTGTTCCGGTTTAATGATGGGAACGCTCGTGGTTTGAGGTGCCCAAAACCAAAAAGTTTGTCGGATGTTGTCGGTTGCCATGAAGTGTCCAAGGTCCCTGATGACGTTCGAGAAGTTCTACCAGGGCTTCCTGGACTGGGCTGCTTGGAGCGGGGGAACACTTCGCAAGCGGAGACGATCGCTTTTGGTTTATGGTGATCCCCAAGGTACCTGATAGGCAAACTGATTTATACGTTGAAATGTCACACATGTACGAGACACATGGAGAAACCACTGACCTCAAAACGGGGTCCACTTCTATTTTTGGGGGGCGCCATGTGAAGGCGAGGAGAAAGCCAGCAGCCTGTGGATCTCTCTCCGGTCCAAGGACCTGGTTCTGTCGGGCGTGCGAAGCCCGGATCACATCTTCTACTTCACCTTGAGGGATGCCTTAAACTTTGGTGTCCAGGCGCACACAACTGCAGTCAAAAGGATCAGTCGGTCTTCGGTGCCCAGTCTCATGTGACATCCGAAAGAGATAGGATCACCAGTAGGATCACCGATCTGAATTGGTCAACGAAAGGAATGGCAGGAGAACCATGGGCCATTTTTGAATGGGGCAAACTGTATCATTTGGCGAATGTGTTGGGAGTGGATTTCCTGGTTTCAGATGGTCTTTCCTAGTGGCAAGTTCGACCATGTTCAATTTCTGAGGATACAACCGACAGGAACACCTGAGATGGCAGTGATTCAATTTGTTTGGCAATCAATTCACTCCTAATTCTTGAATATACCACCGCCCATGTAATTTGCTTTAAACCATACCCATTTTGCAACCCACGCCCACGGTGTGAATGTCGTTTGAACAATAATATGTATATATATATATAATATATATTATAATTGAATTGTTGTCATGTTCAATCAAAGAACCAAAGATATGAGACTCTGAGAAGAGGTTCACGACTACTTACTGGAGGAATCAGGAATCGACTTAAGACAAAGTCACACATGTTCATGAAATACCTCATTCGGAAGGATGTGCTTGTTTGTGGAATGGCCTCCATCGGTAAACATGGAAGATCGAGTTTTGTGGCTGCTATGTTTGCTATGTCGGACAGGGTGTTGTGAACAGTCAGACACACGGATGTGGAAATGTATAGTTGGACAATTGGCAACTATAGTCAGTTTCTCTAGATCGTTTGTGTTCGAAAAGGAACGCATTTGTTTAACCATCCGCTTCCAGCAAATCACCTCGCTCCAGGAATTCTTTGGGCTCTTGCCACTTGGTGTTTTTTCTTTGGGCGCCCGCGAGCGGACAGGTTGGAGGGAACTAAGGAGCCACAGAGAGTTTTTGAATCACTGTCACGAACTAATTAGATGTGATCATTCTATTGCAAGGTTTGGTACTTTGACACCCATGGTCCGAAACATGCACTTCCGAGTTGAGTCTATTACATGATCTTTGCACTCGTGCAGGAGGGATCCACAGAGGAAAACCAGCACACCCGGCCCACCTTTCCATCGACTTGTGACAATATGTCAAAACGAAGGTGAATGAACAACAACAACAGCAGCAACAACAACAACAAGAAGGGGAACAGAGTATGTAAGACAACACGCGCTTATTCCATTCACTCTTGTCCCACTTCTTTTAATTGAACGCCACAGGTTTGTAAGCAGGTCACCATGGTCACCTCGCCCTCCCAGGTCGTCCTGTGAGTCCTTGGGCTGCAAGATCGCTTCCCAGGCCCCGGCTCGCGACGTGGCTTCGTGGGAGGCTTCGTGGGAGCGGCGAGTTTGCACCGAGAAAGAACTGAGAAAGACCTGAGACCGGAGCACCGCCAGAACTGATCAGCCTGTTATAATATTACAGTCTGTGGCTGGATCATATATATATATATATATATCTTTTTTTTGCAGAACTGACCTAGTGTTTCAGTGGAGCTCTCTACCGTAAAGGGTTAGATCGAAGTGGGACCTGTCAGACTGAAGACCCTGCTCCCTGGTTTGCACAGTAGCTCCCCCAAGCATTTTGGCTATGGATATTACAGAAACACACTAGTATTACTTCCCACGGAGTCCTTGATCTTTGGTCTTTTTGGGATCCTCAGGACGGGGAGATATATAACCTTTGATCGCCATAGATCGTGTTTCTGGGCATTCCCTGCGCGGAACGCGCACGTTTCCGGGCATTTTTCAGCCTGAAAACGGAAGGCTCAGAAGAACCATCACAAGCAGGTTCACGGAAACTGAAAGTTCCCAAGAATGCCAACTGAATCACAGAAGCCTTCCAAAATAGGTGTTTAGTTTGCTCATGGCCAGAATCCATGCGACCCACACAGAATCGGTCATTCTTTGGCCCCACAAAACTCAGGGATCCCAAGAGATCTTGGAAATGCGCTCAGAGTGGATCGTCATGGCCAGATGAAAGATGTTTATTAAGTGACGTTCATTCTGTTGTGGATCACTTCCAACATGTTCATCTCAAAGAGTTCACCATCCGCTTCGCGGATCGTTGCACTGCGGAAGTCGTTCGTTCCGTGCGTCCGCAGGATTTCACGGCGGAGCAGTGCGCGCTTCAGAGTCTTGGCCGTGCGAGCAGAGCGTGGAATTGTCATCGAGTCGAGTGGAACGGTCTGTCTTTGCTTTAACACCTGATTGTGGGTTGGTGATGGTCTCTTTTTCCGAACTTGCTGCATATTGTCCTTGGTTTGGCCGGATTTCACACTATGTCACTTCTGAACGCTTAAATAAGCATCCATCAGAGGAATGATGCGCAGATGTTTAAACTCAAAACATTCAGAACCTGTGACAAAGAGTTGCATTTTCTCTCTTTTGTAATGTTTTGGTGTGAGGAGACCCAAACAAAAGAGTTCCACGTCCCCTGAGTTACACGGAGACGCCCCTCCGCGTCTCCGTGTGACCAAGAAAAGACTTCGCCGACAAAGGAAGTCCTGGTCGCTGACGTGGCGCTCCTGGGGCTTCATCAGCCTCGGGCGTCTCGGCGGATTTGGTCAAGGATGAGCAATGGATCAGGCGCAATACACACACATGAGGAATTCCATTGTATACTGTAAGTTAGCAATATGAATCAAGGACTGGAGTGGAGTGTACCTTCACGTGAACCCATGACATGCATCAGCTATCATTCAATTGTCATTTGTAGCTAGTTTAAAGAGTTCGGAAGCCTGAAGGCGAAGGTGAGTATTTCAATCATATATATATATATATATATGTCGTTAAGAGCATTAATGTCTTTGTTGTTTAAATATATGATCTGGGTTTACAGTTGTTTTACACGTTTTTGTTTCAAGATCCGCAATTAGATTATGTGGTACTGTTGGGTGCTCACTGTGCCCTTCCTGTGACCATGCAGGCGCCCCTGGAAAATCTCAAGGATCCGGTTTTGGGGCTCCTCTTCACTATTCCTGCTTGGGTGTTTTACGTGGGTTTGGGGGTACTTGTGAGGAGGGCCCAGGGCCTAGGGTGGGGCATGTGATGGCAGTCCCCTAGAGGCCCCACACCAGACCCACACCCTTTTGCAGAGTGTATTCTTCCCCATAAACAAAACCTGGAGCTCTGGAGGCACCATATCTTTTCTGTAAAAAGCATATTAATTCCATATTGTTGGAGAAGGGTGCAAAGCAGATAAACACCATAAAACACACTGTGTTTTATTGTATTTATTTGATTTGCACCCTTCTCAAACTTTTCAACCCATAAAACTACCAATCTGCCCAAGCCATTAAAAACAACATACAAGTAAAGCACACTGTGTTATAAACTCAAATTTCGCATTGTTCACAACCATAAAATGATCATATATTCAAGCTTTAAAACATACAATGAACACAATTATATAAAACACTATTTCTGGAAATGAGCCCTGTGCAGAGTCTATGAAGTCTTAAAGCTAGTTGGAAGAGAATTTGGAAAATGAAGTTGTCAATAAGTCAATAAGTATCAAACACCTCCTGTTGACTAAAAGACACCTGTATGCAAAGACTATGCCTCCTGAGACCATGTCTACCTCCATTGGCTTTGCAGTTTTGCATGTGTGTTCTTATTAACACTCGCCGCTATCGTATTGAAGTGTTCCAAAAAGTATCAAACCGTATCAACACATTGGACATTAAAGGGCTGCAGAACCCCACATGTGAAGTTCAGTTTAGCTGAGAAGGGAAGCAAAGAGAATGCGAGAAGGCCGGAAACAAAAGGCATGATGGTGAACCATCAATGAAGTAATGATTGCTTGCTTGGTTGGTAGGTTGGTTGATTGATTGATTGATTTGATTTGATTTGATGTGATTGATGTGATTGCTTGCTTGCTTGCTTGCTTGAGTGAGTGAGTAAGTGAGTGAGTGAGTGGGTGAGTGAGTGAGAGTCACAACGGAGTGGAGCTGAACTGAGTTGAGGGCGGTCGACGGGGGACGGGTGAAGGGAAGCAGATAAGGAGAACCCCATACAAAGATGTAGGGAAAGACACAGATACACAAATTGCCGTTTTGTGCAAGTTTTGTGCATGAGCTGAAGGAGAAACCACCCGGAATTCAAGTGGCGTCAATCCAACAAAAAGCTCCGTCAGTCCCATGCCAACCGCCCCATCGTGCGGGCAGCCGCAAGCCCAGCTGCTGAGGTTGCTAGTGGTTTTGGCCATGGCCTTGACTTGCATCTACGTCCGCTGCCCCATCCTGCAGCGGCTCCTTCTTTGCTCGGACCGAGAGCGATCGCTGCTGAGAAGCCACACCGCTGGCGGCACCAGCTCGTCTGGCTCAGACTGAAGGAGAAAAACAAATGAAATGCTGAACAGGCTTAATACATATGTTTTTATAGTCGTCCTTAAGCATTCAAATTTTCATGTGCACGAGAGGCGGTACTTGGTGTGGAATTCAAGTGGTTGATGGTCTCGGTTATAGTTCTACACCATCACACGGTCTCCGCCATGCTTTCACTTGCCACCAATGCCCCTTTGGCGACACCGAGATGTGGAGAAACACCTGGCTTAGCAACCCAGAAGTTTACGGTTCCATATTCCATTGGAGACGGTCACTTCTTTGGAGACTTTGGATTTTGTTGTTTTTTTAACCAATCGATGTGGGCCCTATGGTTTTCTACAGTTCATTTAAGATCCCACACACACCTCCGCATTATTTGCAAAGAAGCTAATGACTCGAAGTTAGAGACTAATGACTCATGGCTTGTTGATGGACAAGCTTTTGCAGAACCTTGGAGTCATGGCATGGGAATCTCCATTTCCATTTTTGAAGGGATTGGGTTTTCCTCAATGGTTTCCATAGCTGTGCAGACTTCTGTCCAGGAAACTTACCACTTCAGCAGGCTACTCCAAGATCACATACCCTTTGGGAAGGTGATTGAAGACACAACTGTTATGTAGGTGCCAGGAGGGTCCAGTCATACCTTGCTTTCGAAGGTCCGACTGGATCCCTTTTGTGGCTTCCATCGCGAAAGCACCGTCCACACGGTCGTCCCACACGGTCGTCTCGCCAGATCACCTTCACCCGAGCCAACCGCAAGAGGTGCGGCGTAGGTCTAAGAGAACATCCGAAGTTCGTTTAGGACAGTGCCTTTTTCTCCATGGCAAGGATTTTGGAGGGTCCAAAGCTAGTTTCACCATGGGCGACGGACATGTTTTTGTCCAGATCATTGCAGCAGGCTTGAAGTGTGAAGAATTTGCAAACATGACTGGCATTTGTGACGTATATATTTGATGCTCAATTCATGAGCAGGGTTCATGTTTCTACCCCGCTTGGAGAGATTCAGGACTTTGGATCCATGGCAACCCCAACATGCCCACAACTTGGCCACAGAGACCGACAGTCGAGGGGGTTGAACAGGGGCTCCAGTCGTCATGAAGCTTGATGAACCTGGGCTTTGTCTTCCTGTCTAAAGTGTCCTCTTCCGAAACAAAAAAGAAAAGGAGAGACCTGAGAGACCCTCTCTCCACTCCAATATCTCCAAGCACCACGAAGATCATGTTTGGAGCCACCAGCACACTACTTCACTGCAGCTGCCACACTCCGCACACCTCGCCAGGTCCTACCTACGTCTAGTGGAGATGGCTTGGCCCCGGCCGCAGGCGCAAAACACGCGCCATGGGCCATGTACTGGTGGGACGGAAGAGAAATAATAGCACCCTGGTAGAGACCCTTCTAGAGACTGGTACGTAGTTTGTAGAGACCTCCCCTTTTCTTATTCGGTTGGATCCTCATCAAACATTTCTGGCTGCCTGACAAGAGATCCTTGTTGCATAAATGTATCCACGTGTTCATTGGGTCTTGGATTGGACGAGATACCGTGAGTCAAGGACTGAACTGCTGGAGTCCAGTGCTCAAGTGAAGTGTTCGAGTTTTGAGGTTCCCAACGAATGATTTGAGAGCGAAATGACAGATCAACGGATGTGAAAGCATCCATTCAGAGTCTCTAGTGTGAAACCAGAACAGATCCACATAATTGGAAATTCAACAGATCCGAATCATACTGGTTAAGAAAAAGAAAGACACACATGCGGGCAACGAAAAATCTGGTAAGCCGCAAGCCTGAGAAGACTGCAGATTTGGCAGATTCGATCAAATGTTGAGGACCTGGAAGATGCAGAACTTGGCAATTGGATCGACTGGATGACACTGGAGCCCAAAGTGCCGCGAGTGGAAGGTCGATTCAGTAGTGAATCTCAGGCAACACTTCGCCTTCGGCAATGGTCAATTTCGAAGTCCAAGCAAGGTCAATCAGTTCACTTGTTAGTTACTAGTTCATACTAGTTCACTTTATGCTAGCTCAATCCGTTGGGATGGTCAGCCTGTTGATCCCTTGAACTAAGGGGTCCCTGGTTCGGTCTTGCTACCTCTCTCAGGCACTAAAAAAGCTGTAGAAACGTCCGTTAATCATGGTGAGTCCTCCAGGGTCCAAGGTTGGCAATTGGCAAGTTCATCTTCCAAATCTTGTGGGATCCTGCAATATCCTGCAGCTTAGGGCAATCACCAGCGCAAGTGGAACAGACGCATCGGTAAAGAATACGGTGCAGCTAATGAAGGAATCATAGTATGCAACGATGCAATCGCGATGGAACGACTGTAAATAACCTGCCTACCCTGATTAACCCAAATAACCTGACAGAAAATTCAGTAACCCACCCGCGTAAATAACTTGCCTATAGATTGAACTATTCACCTGTTTCGATTGTTGCTCCTACCCAGATTGCCGCCTTGCGGCGGCCTTTTCGGTTGAGCGGCAATGCTTGCCAGGACAACATTCACCCGGTGGTCAACCAGACCCCACAGATCTTGTTTTGAACCATGATATCCCACTGCAGCTTCGTCAAACGACCAGCATTTGTTTCGCGCAGGTGTGGGTTGAACAGCCTACAATGGAATCGTGGTTCTCCAGAATCACTGCTCCTACATATAATGCGTGTGACCGCCGTTGGCGGTGGAAGGATCGTGTGTCAAACCTGCCGAGGACTAAGTGTACTGGTGCCAATCAAGTCTCCCTCGCTAAGCGAGTTGTGGGTAAGACGCCGCTGTCTCAAGTGCAGTCGCGGGATCGAGATGAACTCGCTTCCCCTTCTTCTTCACATGCATTTGTTGAACGTCAAGGTGTCGGTGAAACGGTGCAGGACTGGAGTCGGAGTCTAGCTGCGTGCACTATTACTCCGACAAGCACCGACAACCAACTGGTGGGATCCTGCAAGTTTTCACAGACTCATCTACTAGGAGCGATCGGACGCTACTAGGGGCTCCTGGCGTCGCTACTAGGAGGAAGGACGCTACTATCATTTTTGCATGGAAGAATCGCGGGATCGGCCCACAGGCCGGCAAGGGCACAGGCAAGCGGACATACCAGGGATGCGGCGGGGAGTGGACGTCTGACGCGTTTCATCAGAGATTTACCGATCTCAAAGTGTTGCCGGGGTAGATGCAGTAAGACTGACTTTGTACCATTTGTACCTATAGGCCTATCCGAGATGATGGATTATGCATGTGTATCTGTGTATCACGATAGCAAGTGGGCAAAGCCCTCCGAAGGTAAGTACTGCAAGGGCAAACAAAGAGAGTGCAACATAGTGCAACCATAGACTCATATGTACACATTGGTGCAGAGTGCAGCTTCATGGCGATCTGCCAGGTGCGGGTAAAGCGTCCACAGCTTTAGAGCAGGCGCGGCTGGTCACCCAGCTGGGGCCTTTTTCGGAGCCAGGAGCAACTGAGCAACAGCCAAAAAGGGTCCAGTCACAAATCTTATGTGAGAGGAACTCTGCATAGAAATCATGAGGGAACCCTGTAATAGCGACATAGTGAACAACCAAAAGCGATGCCATCATTTCATTCAATTTCCTGTATGATTATGGTATTTCTTGGCTTGGCAATTTCCGCTTTACATAAAGGGATGTCACCCTTGATACTAACATAATGGGGTTGCATGTTTTTGCCGGTTTTGGCGAACGCTCAACTGGAGTTCCCCTCTTTTGGCCAACCAGTCGAAGCTTTTGTGTTCTCATCTGGTCGTTGAAGGTTGGTTGGTCCACCGCTTCCTTTGGCAGGTGTTGCAAAGCAAGTTGTCGGGCACCACGTGTGGATACCGTGGTGCACCCTTGGTTGGGGCGTCCCAAATGCGCGACTGCGAAAGATGTTCATGCTCATACAATGTATCTCCCAAAGTATCATTCTTAATATTATATGGGTGTTTGAGCCTACTAACTAGGTTTCAGATATGAGTTGGTGGAGGTGAAGGCGGGTGAAGGTTACAAATATGAGATACCTCTTCTAGTTTGGTGGCTTGGCCGCACAACTGTGATTGTTTAAATTGAAGCAGATAGGCTTGTATGCTATATTATAAGGACCTATATAAGGGTTTGAAACAACGACTGCGAAAAGCCGCTACATTGTGACTGCTAGGGAGGGAGTGACCATCACCATCCAGATACCTTCTGATTCTGTGCTCCTGCAAGCACTGTTTTGCATTGTTTTGCACTGCGCCCTGCTGGTTCTCAGTGTCCTTGATTGGTCTAAGAGATGTAGACGTAATTCGGGGCTTCTTCTGTACATGTCTGTACCATCCTTATCGCTCGGCGCTCTATTCACCTTAAACTGCTTCAAGTGTGCATCATTTTTCAGACAACCACTTCTACCGATGGCGCCGATCCGCTGCGATCCGGTGGCGCCATCCGGGTTGCCGGTCTTAGGCTTTGTTGCTGAAGCCCTGCCTGGAAGGCTCGTGACCACCCAGTGAAGGTCCCCTGCATCGGGCACTTTCACGGACCTAGCAGGAAACCTAGCGGCATGACTCTCGTTTTTGGGTTCCCCAAGAGTTCATCGCTTCGGTGGAGGGTGGAGGCCATCGCTAGGAGGTTGGAGGCCATTACTATAGTAGCAAGAAGCTACTAGTAGCAAGGGGCATCGCTACTAGGAGCAAGGATGCTACTAGGGGCTCCTGGCCTTACTACTAGTAACAAGAAGCTAGTAGCAAGAGGCTACTAGGTTGGAGGCCATCGCTAGGTTCCATTTGCCCGTGTTCCACCGGACTCACAGGCCATCGGCCGTCGTCGGTGCAGGTGCAAGCTCCCTGTGTTTCATTCACTGCATGCGCTTGGATCCGTCCGCACTCAGCGGGGCGCATGAGCAGCACCGATTCGGGGAAAACACGTGCTTGTCAAAGACCCCTGGCGAGGAGGATGCCTCGAGATGTCTTAATTTATCATAAATTCAGCCCTTTTCTGAGCCAAGAATGAAGTCTGGAGCGATTGGTGCTTCCTTGGATTTCATGGTTTTCCTGGATCCTGTGGGTAGAGCACCATATCTTATTTTACAACTTTACACACCGTGATGACAAGGAAACGCCGTTCAGAAAGCTTGGTGTGGCTTTGTTCTGCGAAAAGAAATCCCAATAATTCCACATCCCGGCCCTGTTGGGCCAACCCTTTCACTTTTCGGCAAGCAATGCCGCCCTACGAGGCGAGGAATCCAGCGCTCACCGAGCTTCATGTTTATCCCAGCAGTGACCAAGGATGAGCGATGAACTGTTTCTCTCTGGGCACTTAGAGGGTTCTAGACTCTACTCCATCGCCCAATCCCATCTCCAATCAGCATGCGGACCGCATGCCACTGCATGCCGCAGCCTTTCTGGGGCACGGTTGACCAGCTCCATCACAAGCACTGCGGGGTGAAGCCATGGGGTTTCACCTGAGACCAGAGGATTTGCTGCGAGGTCACAATGTGCTCCTGGGGCTGAGGGCAGGTTCATTTTAGATATGTAACACTCAATGGAATCATCATGCAAGTGGAAAACCACCTATTTGTGGAGAATAACAAGACTTCCAAGGGGCCATGTTCCACTTCCATGATGATTTCATGGAGTGTAATTCTTTTGACGTTCTGAATGGACCTGTGTGGGAAAGCAAGGAGGCCTGTATTGGCGGGAGAAGCATTGATTCAGCACCAGGAAGCACCGGAAAAGCCAGAGCTGTAGATCCCCTGGCCCAGGACTGTAGAGAAACGTTGCTCGAAAGGTTCGTAGATGTTCGTAGGATTACATAGAACTCTTAGTCTTTACATTGACATGTCTCTACACCCGGTGCTATGCATGGTTCACACATTTTCACACAATTTGTGGTGCTATGTCTTTGGACTTCTGATCCTTCGGGCCTTGAGATCTACGTCTACGGCCGCTCTGGGCCGAAGAGACGGTGATGCCTTCCTCGGAGGGTCGCCCGAGGCATGGTCTCTTCGACGACTTCCCGATGCCTTCCTTCCCCTCGGTGCCCTCATGGGCTGGTCTTCCGAGTTTCGAGGATCTTCAAAGGCACCTCTTGGGGGAAGCTCAAGACCCAGGTGCCGCGGAGTTTAGCCCAGGCCACTGCGCGGATGAAGTGTCGAAGAGTCGAAGTGCGCTTCCCTGGACAAGAATAGAAAAGACATGAATTTTTCTAATAGACGTGATTAGGACTCAGATGTCCTCAGGCTCTCCCTATGGAAGACATTATAGTGTATTCCAAATTCCACGTGTTTGTAATTTATTGCCATATTTTTGTTTGAGGACTAAGCCTTTCACTCCCAAATTCTTCCGGGCCCCTGCAAGCAGTTTTGGCCGCACACCCGCCACCCGCCAGGCATCGTTTTTTCAACGAACTCTTCCTTGAACTCAAATGAATCCCAACAAAAGGAACCCTTGACTTATAGCAAAAGAGCCTTCCCAGCTCGAAAGGTCGTCCTTGAATGGCAGCATCTCAGCCAATAGATTATGGTGGTGAACATGAGTTTGTAGCAGCGTCCACACTCCACATCCACACTGATCCCATCTTTTTCGAGATCTGATCATCTGATCTCTATATATTTTTAAAAAAACACTTGCAGTTCCTCCCTCGGAGCCTGGCAGGTGACGAAGGCATCTTGCGCTACTTGAAAAGGGCCGAGCTGAACGGCTGCTTGGCGCGGGAGGGCCGGTGGCGGGCCGTGTCTAGATCCGTGTCTCGGGGGCCCGTGGCTGGGGGCGGCGACTCGGAGGGTGGACTGGAGCTATGATTCGTTTCGGATATGTTTTCTTCCCTGTGGATGGAGGGAGGACTGGTGTCCCTCACTGCCCTCACGGTATTCTTTTTTTCGGGCGCACGGCAAGTGAGCGCATAGAAACAGCGCTGGGTTTGTCATGTCAGACAAGCAGTGTTGGCTGGATCACTCTTCAAACAGATGCAGTGCTTACGCGGTGCTGCAATGTCAGCCACATTCCAGATGATCGGTGTAGGTTTGCTAATTTGGTCGGAGACATGAACTGGCTCCAGGTTTTGTTTTCAGCAACCCATGCCATCAACTATCATCAACTCAACGTCAAAGACTTTGGCCCCAAATCTGCAGCACGGACGAGGTCAGAAGGCGTTGGTGCTGAGGGTTGACGCGAAGCGCTCCAGAGGCATTTTCGTGCGAGTGGGTGAGTCTCGGCTACACCCATCGTAATATCAACCAGGAGTGGATAGTTTTGCATTTGGAGTCGTGCTGCATCATACTGTACATGGCGTGGCAGTGATTTCGGTGTAGCCTACGTAATGTGTTTATTGCATATTATGATGATATTATATGATGTGTAGCCTGCGTAATGTGATTATTGTATATTATGATGTGTGCACTACAAGCATAACATTGCTCTCCACTTGATTCTTTCTGGCATTTCGGGCAAGAATCCTTTTCCGGTCAAGTTCCAATGACAACTGGGTTGGTTGGGTCGTTTTTCCCTAAGACCAACAGCTCAGGACTCGGGGCGGAAAGTCCAAATCCATTCCGAGAAGCTGCACCGAACCGGGAGCGCTTTGGTGGCTGGCTGGTACTACACGGGCAAAGGTCGTCGTGTGCCACCTGGCGCGCAGAGCGGAGAGGAGAGGTGGTCTTGAGTAGGTTGGGTGATGTGCAAGGTGTTTGTAGTGCTCCAGGGGAAAAGAGATTTTGTTGGCTTGGTGCCTTCATCAATAGGCCTGGCCGGTGCATGTGTGCGGAAACGCCAAGTGTTCGGTACAACGGGAGTCGCGTTTGGCGATGACGTGGTATACAGGATGATGTATCGTTGACAAGTTGTGCATGCAATCAATGTGCAACTCATGAGAAGATCTCCGAGTGGATAGCAGTTTATGACATGGTTGCATTTCTGTTTGGACCTTATCTCATATCTCATTCAGTTTGACTACCTCTCCGCAACCCAGGTTTAGGTGGCCCGCTCGAGCGGCAAACAATGGTCAACGTTTGGATTTGCACCATCCATAACTGACCACTGTCCATGGCCAAAATTGGCGACCCGCAAGATTCTAGAAGAAGGTGCAGGACTTGACACCAAACACAACATCCACCAGTATGCTACAGATCTCAGGATTGTCTACCATTTAAGATCCGTTGCCTAGCGTGCTTGCTGGTGCACAGAGCGCTGCAAGAATCTGCTGGTGCACAGAGGGCTGGATATTTCTGCGTACTGCGTGCGCAAAAATGCAGTAGGTATGTGTGATCCCCAGCAGCCGGTGACTGTGTGCGAGGCAAGTGCTTGGCTTCCAGCCCGAGAAGGGCATGTACGATGTCTTGCTAGAGAACGGCCAGCCGGCCGTGTGCAAGAGAGAGAATCTCAGGCCACCACCTGATGAGGGATTGACGGATCTCGAAATGCTTTGCCTAAAGGAGTTGGTCGGAGTTGGTCTTCCATCTCATGAGCCCAATCCAAGCTATTTTTGTCCAATCGCCAGACTCCACCCAGAGACTGGGTCACGCGTCACAGGAGTGAAAGGAGCCTAGCTCAAGGGGTTTGGGTTGATGCCCTCGTGCATACCTTGATCCTGATTTCTAAGATGAATTCAACCAGTTCTGAAAGGATCTAAGATGGTTCAATACATTCATCACAGAACACCCACAAATGGGCACATCCACGACAAGCACAGCTTTTATCCACAAAACAATTTGCAAGCTAATGAGCTGTCGGCCAATTGCAGTGAACTTCAATCCTTCCGTTCTTCACGTCTCTCTCTCTCTCTCGCTTTCCCCTCATCACAGGTGACTCTAAGTCGGTCGTCTCTTCACGGTCTTTTCGTGTCTCTTCACCTCACAGGTCGAGTCCCGCCTCCAACCTCGCGGCCAGCGCGCGCAGCGGAGCCGCAGCCCGGAGCCGCAGCCGCTCGCCGCGCACGCGCACGGCGAGCCGCTCGTCACCCGCGGCCACTGCACGGGGCACTGCAGCGGAGCGGCCGGCGCGGCAAGGCGTGTGCGTGGTGTGCCTGACGCAGCCCGCAGAGATGGCCGGGCGAGAGTGACGCTGGGCGTCAAGATGGAGTGGGTTGTCGAAAGAACTTACAAAAGGTAACCATGAACTTCTTGAACCAGCTTGAACCAGAGTGCAGAGTTACTCATTGCATGATAAGCCATGAATCAGGGAGCCTTGAAAGCTGTCGGTTTGAAGCCTGACTTGTTCAATGTCCATTCTATTACCTTTACCGAGTACAAGTGGGCGAGGGAACATCCGTGAAAACTCGTTGCTGCATGGTGTTCCAAAACGACACCAGGCTCTTTCAGAACCTCAGTCTCTCTTGCCCGGCTCAGGCTTTCATTTGTGCATTTGCCGGAGCTGTCACCAAAATCTGCCTTCGAGGCAATGCCCAATGTGCCGGAAGGAACAGCTCTTCCGGCAAGTTTACGTTGCGAACGTGGACTGAAGAGGAGCCCCAAGAAGGATGTCACTCTGTGAGAGGGAATCCAGTGTGCCAACAGCGCAGATGTACATGAAGCTGGCTCATGTTTGAGCAGCTGACAATTGGAGTCCAAAGAATGACGAGCTCTAATTCCGAATTGAAGCTGTGGGCCCATGCTGTAGCTCGGGGTTTTCCGATCAAAAAATGGCAGCCTCCATGTGCATGGCCAGGGGTTCGTTTGGCGTTGGTCATGCAGAGGTTTGACAAAGGGTGAACGCTTTTATTGACTGTATCATTGAATGTGATAGGACCATATTGTATACTTTATGAACTTACCTGTAAGATCCTGTAAGACTTACTGTATAGTACATCAATATCAATCACAGTATACTATATATGTACACGATAAACTTATATACAGGATGAACATTCTGTGGCTCACCTGGAGCTCCCCCGAAATCCTTCCAGTGACCTGACCTGGTGCGACGAGTTGGGTGGTTTGGCGGCGGAGAATGGCGGACCTTCACTGACATTCACCAAACCCACATGGAGAGCAAACCCGCACATGGTCCCATGTAGTTGGAGTTTGGAAGGATATGGCCAGGATACTTCCTGTGGCTCTTGCAGCTGGTGCAGATCGTCAGATCGGTTTAAAGAACTTGGCTGCCTGTGCCCTTCTCAACGATCAAAGATCTCAACGTTGCGCAAGGTCATTGCGCTTGGTGATCCCATGATTATATAGCCGAAATCACTTGTCAAAGCCAAACTCACCCCTCCACAAACCCAGCCCCTCCCAAAGAAGATGTCTTTTCTTGTATTTCAATTGCAAGGGGTTGGCACAGGTGAGATGACACCCACAGCGAGCATTGTCAAAATTGAGAGATGTGGTATGTCTTGGGACATATTGTGATGTGTTGCCTGTCACCTCTCACCTGAGCCGAAAGTACTTGGATAAGCCACCCACGGAGTTCATTGCAGCTAGGAAACTCATCGGTGAAGTCACTTCGGTCTCCCTGGGTCGACAATCCTTCCACCCGAGCCGCCGAGCGACCGCCCCGGTGCGGCACCTCTGAGGCCTCACTTGAGTTGTTTGGGCACCAGCTCACCTCTCCTCACCAAGATCTTCCAATGGCTCAGTCAGGGCGGCTCAGCCAGGGACTTCTCGGATGTGTTTTTTGGTCCGACACCGATGGAGGAAGGGACAGTCGAGTGGGATTGGTCCCTGCTGCGCTAAAAGCAGCGTCTCATGATTTCTCAGTTTTTTTGACCTTGCGGTTGTATGAAGCAGATAAACCCCACGGACCCCACATCGAATGAGCACATCGTGGTGTTACCTTGGAACAGAGTTGTCGGTCCTTGAGGTGTTTTTTGCACCAAATTCCAGAGTTTATTTGATGTTAATCACGCAACTCAACTCCCGGGCAACAACTCCCATGCAAAACTGGGTTTACCCGTTTGAGAGGAAACCTTCGCATCGGTTTATGCAGCCTTTGGCCATGAAATGTTCAACTCTCACCTACATGTATACAGTTACAGAGTGTCGGGAAACGCACTTTTGAAAGACGGATATGGTACCACAACATACCACAACAAGTTTTATAGAATTTGGCCAGAACTTCTATGACCAGAGTTGCAAAAAACAGATGAGAGATCAACAAGCCGCTGAAGCCATATGAAGCCCTGCTCAAAATGTTGACCAGAGTTGAGGGGAGTCTCAACCAACAAGACTTTAAAGTTGGAACATTTTGGAATCCCTGCATAGAGAGGACGCCAACACGAGTTTAACAGTATGGGTCGGTGCGCTTGGCCAGGTCAAGAGAGAAAGGCAGCCAGCAAGAGCAAAGCGGAAGGTGCAGGCGCCTGCGGGTTGAAACTCCTGAGAAGCTAAGCATGTTTCAAAGGAGTCATCATGACTTGAGGAGATGGGGGTGGACGAAAGGTAGCATGTCTGCGGCTGCTGCTGCTGCTGGTTGCTTAGTCGTTGCTGCTGCCACTGGTGCTGCTTTCTGCTTTGCTGTGCTGCAACCGCTGCTTTGCTGTTGCTGCTGCTGCTGCCGCCGCCACTGCTGCCGCTGCCGCTGCCGCTGCCGCTGCCACCGCCGCCGCCGCTGCTGCTGGTTGCTGCTGCTGCTGGTTGCTGCTCCTGCTGGTTGCTGCTGCTGCTGCTCCTGCTGGTTGCTGCTCCTGCTGGTTGCTGCTGCTGTTTGGCTGTTGCTGTTGCTGCTGCTACTTCTTGCTGGTTGCTGCTGTTGCTTGAATCCTGAAGGCTGCTGCTGCTTTGCTGTGCTCCCCCTCTTTCAATTTCGTTTGCGCAACCCCCAAAAACTGAACGAAAACCAAGGGTTGTGGAGGCCAAACTTGTGTGAGCTTGCTGCTGCTGCTGCTGCTGTTGCAGTCCTTGCTGCTGCCACTGGTGCCACTGCTGCTGCTTTCTGCTTTGCTGTGCTGCAACTGCTGCTTTGCTGTTGCGGCTGCTGCTGCTGCTGCTGCTCGTTTGCTGCTGCTGGTGCTGGTGCTACCTTTTTCCTTTGCTGTGCTGCTTTGCCGGTTTGCTGCTGCTGCTGGCTGCTTGCTTCTGCTCAGATCACTACCAAATTCTCCGCGGCGCAGGGTGGAGTCGAATCGGGGGGGGAGGGGGGGCCCCCCCCCTGACATTTAAAACCAACTCTTAAACGACCGAAATCAAGCACCGGACCACTTCACCACCCCCAGTACATTATTGCTAAAGCAAAGACAACTCAGGTAGCGTAACCGCTACCTTTCGTGATGACCTATACCAGCCAGCACTTCACATGTGCTGCCATGGAACACGTTAACCCGGCCACACACTTTGTGCCATGCTTCCTGGCGCGTATTGTTGGGATCGTGAAAGGTGACCAGGTGGCCGGGTCTGCAAAGTCAGTTCCCACACAGTATAGGTTTGATCATGAGGTCGTGGGGACAGCAAATCCAGTGACAAGAGGTTTCGATGGACCTTTAGGGTAAACAGAGATCATGATCCATTTTACTGGTGCTTCAAGCCCAGCAAACCACGTGCACTGTGAGATCAAATTGTGTGGTTCAGCGGAAACAACACTTTACTTCGAGCTATCCCCAACCGCCCAAGTACACAGTTTGTTGCGTATTTCTTTGCCATTGTGTGCTTGTCACTGCTTGTTGCTTGCCGTCGTGCTTGTCCTGGTGTGTTGTCAAATTTAACATTACACGTGTTGTGTTTATATTTGGTGTCCTGTGTGCTGTATGTTTTGTTGCTTCGTGTTTGTTGTTGCGTTGTTTGTGCTATTACATATATAGATATAGATAGCGATATAAATACCAGGACCCTCCAACAGGTCACTACAAGTAGCCTCTTAAGCATAGTTACCAGTAGTAGCCTCTTAATTTTTAAGTTCCAAATCTGTTGGATCTTGGAGGTCTGAACGGTGATCCATGTATCCACTGCTGAGGCCCCAAGACAGAGCTGGCACGCCTCACGAGTGGGCTCAAGTGCGGATGTGGGCATGGATAACCCTTTCTAGCCCAGAAGGTCAGCCTCCCAGTGTGATAACTGCATATCTTACATGTTCAGGGCATAAACTTAAGTAACTTTGCTCATACAATTCAATGTTTCCAGCTGAGTCCTCGCTTTTTCTACCTTCCTTTTGGTTGACGCCATGGGGAAGCAAACCCCACCTAGAGCCTACACAGATGCGGCCCAGAAACTTGGCCACATTAATTTGAGTGGTGTACCAACGTGCTTATCTTTGGGTGTCCCCAGACTTCTTCATCTAAGGAGGTTTGCCAAAGCTTTGATCCAAAGGGTGAACCCGGAAGCAGTCAAAAAGTCCATGGAACTATGTCCTGGTGGTGATATTAGGGTGAGAGGAAATCAATGGATTAGAGTGGCCTGGCGGGATGCTGGATTGGTCCGAGCACCTCGTGAACACCAAATAAGGGAGGCTGTGAAAAAGTTGGTGGCCAAACGGAAACTCCGTGTGAGTCTCAGTGAATGGAATGTGGTCTTTGAACATGAGTTTAAGCATCGTCTAAAAGAATACTATTTTGGGTTTGTCCTGATGAGGCTTTGGGAGGGATGATGATGAGCTCGAAATCTGGATCATTGAACAGGATTCTCACTGCACACATGATTGGTGTTTGGTAGAACGAGTTTTTACATTTTTGTCGGAACAGTTATCCCACAGTTGTGTTGATCTAAGGCTTTGCGATGCCATCAAATTGTGTTGCAGCATCAAAAGCAAAAACGCCAGGGTAATCCTTTCGTTTCCCCGGACTCCAAGACCAAAAAAAACCACCGACACTCAATTTGAATGTTATGGTCGTAGTTTGTGCTGACATTGGGTTTGGGTTGATGATGATCGTGTAGGACTAGGCTTTTTTCTCTCACCCTATTGGCCATCCAAGGAGGACTTCATCGCAGCAATCGATTGATAACATGGAGACCGTGCCGATGGATATTCCAGAGTTTGACTGGGACATGACGTTCCTTGGCAAACACTACATCCGTCGGGAGACAAATGTAGAAGCGCGGAATTGATTCCTGTCGCTCAGGGGATCTGGCACTCAAGGTGGCACCGCCCCTGTACCTTATGTGACACTTAAGTGTTTTTTTCTGATCATTATGTTTGTAATTGGAGATGTTTTTTTTCTCAGATTTAGGGTTACCCTGTTCGAGCCTGTTCTGATTGTTTTCCCTCATATCAGGATATATCAGGTATGCTTTGTTAGTCTGCTTGTGCCTAACCCTGAGTTTCCGGTATCTTCTATCGATCCTGAGGACGCAGATTCAACACAGAAAAGAAAAAGAGCCAGGACTGAAGAAACCCTACATCATGCAGAGGAGGAACGTGATGCAAAGAAGCCTGAAGAAGAAGAAGAATGTGAGGAAGGAGCTGATGAGGAAGAAGTTGAAGAACCAAGTCCACAGCATGAGGATGATGAGAGTGCTGAAGAAAATGACGCTGTGCAAGCACAAAGACATGATGCGACAGGACAGAAGACAGAGGAAGAAGAGAAGGAGGATGAAGAGGGCAGTGATCAGGAAGTGAGAGAAGCTCATAAACAAACAAGAGAAGCAGCTGATGAAGAAGAAAGTGATGATTGCGATGAAGAAGAAGCTGAAGGACAACCTCCTGCGAAAAATGAAGAACCAAAATGGAAAGAAGGGAAGGCTGTCAAAGAGGCCAATGAAGAAGGAGGTGATG